ATTTTTTTATAATTTAAGTGTGGATTTCTGAGCAAAAAAGATAACGTGCTTCAAGCACTCTGAATATTAAAAGAAAATTTCATTGATTTCAAGTAGAAATAAAATGAAAATATATATATCTAATATAAATTTATTTTAAAATTAGGTAAAACTTGACATTTAAGAACAGTTTAAAATAACGACTAAACCAAAAGATAAATAACAAAACATATTGTATGTTTTAATTGAGGACTAGTATGGTATTAAAAAAAAATACATAATTCACAAAGTTCTTTTAATATGAAGAAAAAGCACGACTTGGTACCATATACATACCTATTTCTAGGGGTGTATGTACGAAAAATTGTGTTATAAAATTTTTGAATGAATATTCATTTATTCTGCTCAGTGTACCTACTTTATCCAACAATAATGCGTCATCAACCTACTTCGTCTATTGTTTGCATACAACTAAATAAAATTTGTTGCTCTGCTTCTCTTTCTGTTGACGTTCGGATTGTGTACGTGTAAAGGCTCTGTTATGCATACTTGGCATTGCTTGAGAGTTGTCACATAAGGAATCTGTTAAATGAGCTTCGCGTGTAAGCGGTTACCCAACGCACAGCATTACATACGTAAAAGTCTGTTGGTTTTTGATTTCTACGTAAAAATGGTATAGCAGTGCATGCAATGCCAAGTATGCATAACAGAGCCTTAAGAAGCCGATTATGTACATGTGAAAGGCCGAATATAGTTCGTTTCCCAGAAAAGTGTTTGGCGGGCACTGCTTTAATGTTTCTCTAATATGCATGTAATAAAAAGAAAACTGTTCAATGAACCAATATTTTTAGTGCTGTATTGCTTTTAAAAACTTACAATTTTGCTTCCAACTCTTTGCGAGGTGTTGAAGTCGTGAAAATATCGAAAAGGTTTGCTTACGTAAGGCTATTACAAAACTTTATACAAATGCAAATTGTTTCCTCTAGTGGCAACGGCAATCTCACTCTGCTCAAGTAACTTGCTGACAATTCTTTTCTTTTCCTTGTGCTGAGCTCTTTCCGCACGCTGGGAATCCCCAAGATTTTCATCGTAAATGGTAGACACCGCACCACGTTTTAAACGACGAAGTTTTTCACCTAGGGCATTTACAAAAACAATATTAAATGCAATTAATATGAAAATAGACAATATGTTACCCATTTCGAACTGTGTATTATTTTCAATATCTTCACTAGTAAAGTGCCTCATGCACACATAGCTCGATTTGGTGTTTAATGCATCTCCTCGCCGGCAGAACTGCTTCCACTTTTTCGCCAGATTTGCGTCTGTGGGAAATGAAAAAAAAAAAGATTAAATCGCAAGCTTTCCTTTTGTTTTTACTATTACACTTTGCCACGGCACACTTAATTTTGCTTTATAATGTCTCAATAATTGTTTAAAACCACGCAGAAGTATTAATGCACAAATATTAAAATAGTTTTTTGGTTTTTTCGTATGCTCACAATCAACAATTGCACCAAGATGACGTCACGCACCCAGCTGATTCTATCAAAATCGCAAAGAGCGGATTAGCGGTACCGCGATTGGCGCAATCTCTATTTCTCTCAATCGTGTAAGCTAACCATTTCATCTAACATTATAAATGCTGATATGATTAGTGCCTCTACGCAGCGATCGGACTTAAAAAAAATTGTGTGGTAGAATCTGGAAAAAAATATGGTAGATTTTAAAAAAATGTGGTAGGTCTCAGGTTTTGGATCAAACTTTGTACAAAAATTAAAAAAATTCTGCAAGGGTTCACCTAAATTGCAAACATTTTAATTAGAATCCAAAAAAGGCTAATTTTTATATAATAAAGTGCAAGATTGAAGTTGCTAAAAAATGCGTTGAGTTTTGGCAATTTTTTTCCTTGACAGTGTAAAGCAGTTCCTTCCATATGAAGATATTTTTCGAACATATTTTGAAAGATTTCTGAAACCTTTCGGAGTGCTTCCAACTTTTCTTTTTATCACATGACGATGTAGCGAATAAATGTGGGACGTTCCAAAAACCGCTACTTGCGATTTGCCGATTTTGACAATTCGCAAGTAAAAGTAAACAACGCTTTAGAAACTTTAAATGCACTGAAATTTGCTAGTACTTTCACAAAAATCACCGTTTTTTAAAAATTTTCGCTATTAATTCTTTTTATAAATCATATTTTGCAATTTAACACAATAAAAACGTTTCCTGTCGAAAAATTGAATATTGAGAAAATTTACTATTTTAGTTTATTTTATCCTCCCATTCTGCCTGTTATTGGTGTTTAGTGTTGGACAATTTTTGCTCTTAAAATTAAGAAAATAATGTCGAGCAAAAATAAAACTACTCAAAAACGCGAATATGTGGTAGATTTCAGACCTTGTGTGGTAGATGCTCAAAAAAGTGGCAGATCTACCACAATGTGGTAGAAGTCCGATCACTGCCTCTACGGCCGATGCTGCTTATCGTCCTCTCTTATTTCCATCTTCTTCGTCTCTGGGCGTTCGTTCGTTTCCCACTGATGCTAGTGTTACTGCGTCGGCATCGACGCCAACTAACGTCACTGCTACGGGTGAAATGTGTATATAATACGCCTCTGTTGACGCGCGTGAAGTTTTCGATGCATCACGGGCTGGTGAGAGTAGAACATTACATTAGGGAGTGGCGAAATTTCTTCGCTTGCTAATCCTTCTACCCCTATATCTAATGCAACTGATTCGATACAATCAATGTCTCTCGCTCGTAACAGTGAAAGGCATAAAACTACTGCCAAGGCCGGTAATAAGAGAGGTGAATTGCGTGTCGTTGGATCTAGTTCTAATGCTGAGCTTAATGTGGCCGTTCCATTAAAGTGGCTTCATTTATCATCTTTTAAGCCATCTGTCAGCTCTGTTGATATTATTGAATATGTTGGAAAACACTCCGGAATCGAAAAGAATCTTTTATCATGTTTTAAACTTATTAAAAAGGATGCGCCAACTGACTCTTTAAAACGTGTCAACTTCAAGCTTGAGGTACCGGAAAACTCGTTTGATAAGTTGCTATTGCCGGAAGTTTGGCTCGCTAACGTCACCGTGCGTCCTTTTCTTTTTTTTTTCAAAGGAAAGTAAGTCCGTCAACTCAAACACAGCGGCTGAAATATCTTCGCANAGAAAAGAAGGAAAGTAAGTCCGTCAACTCAAACACAGCGGCTGAAATATCTTCGCATAAATTAAAAATATATTTTCACAATGTATCTGGTATGAAGACCAAAGCAGAGATAATTCGTTGATTAAGCTCTCACCTAGATTATGACGTATTTGTAATTATCGAATGTTGGTTAAATAACAACTTCTTCGATTCCGAGTTCTTCGATGCAAACCTATACAGTGTTTTCCGGAAAGATAAAGACGAAATCAAAACTGGGTGTTCCAGAGGAGGCGGCGTGTTAATTGCTACACAGCGAAAATTCAGCGCATCTTTAGTTCAGTTACTTAATTCTGATTCCCCCTGGATCAACTTTGCGTTACTGTGCGGGGCTCTTTCGGCCAACTGTTCGTGTGTGCGTCGTATATCCCTCCCAACAGTAATGACGAGATTTATAAATGTCACATTGATAATTTAGAGTATCTAAGTTCTGAAGTTAAGAATCACCATATGTGTGTCATCAGTGTTAACGCCAGTTAATGTGTGCAATGTCAATGAACTTTATGTTACTGATAGTCTCTTAAGTATTGGCCTTTCCCAAATTAATCATTATTTTAACGATTTTAATCGACTTTTAGACCTAATTTATTTAAGTGACAACTTAAATCATCAGCTGGAGGTATGTGACTCACCAATTTCTCCGCGGAGGTCCCACCATATTCCTTTAGAAATTATACTCCAATTCTACGAATTCCTTGCTCCATTGCCTAGTACTTTGCAACCTATTTTTAACTATAATCTATGCAACTTTAATAAGCTTAATTCACAATTGCTAAGAATCGATTGCAACACGCTTTTTACTAAAATGGATACCACCAAAGCCTTCACCACATTTAAATCTCGTGTTTTTGATCTCTGCGTGGATCTAATCCCCACATTCACTAGGAAACCCTATAAATTACCATGGCACACAAAAGAGTTGAGACGTCTGATAAAACTGAAGAGTAAATTCTTCAAAAAGTTCAAAAAACCCGGACACACTTTGTACCTTGAACGTTATCAGCGTTACCGTAAGAGTTTCAACGCCCTCGATAAGCGTTTACATGATAGGTACATTAAAATCTATGAATCCAACATCAAAAATAACCCAAAAGCTTTTTGGAGGTATATAAAATCTAAAAACTCAAGTTCTGGCATACCTTCCTCCGTCTTCTACAGCGATAAACAAGCGACCACTCTTGTTGATGCGGCTAATCTTTTTTCTGAGTTTTTTTGTGCCAATTTTGTGTCCGATGCTGATCTACCTTTCGATGATTGTTTCTTTACCGACTCGTCACTGGCTTTCGGTTCGCTTTTTGTAACGTTAGTAGAGGCATCGAATCGCTAAAATTCTCCAAACAAATGGACGCGCAAGGACTTCCGGCGATTATTTTCAAAAAGTGCTCCTCCCTGATTGAGCCGCTAACGCTTATTTTCAATAAGTCCTTAACATCCGGCGTTTTTATAGACGACTGGAAAAGAGCATCTATAACCCCAATTTATAAAAGCGGTAGCAAGAATTAAGTAAGTAATTATAGACCTATCTCGAAATTATCCACGGTCTCTAAAATTTTCGAGATTGTTGTTAAAGTCAAACTCTCATTCGCAATTAGTGGTCTTATCTGCTGTAACCAACACGGATATGTCAAAGGTAGATCAACAGTAACAAACCTTGCTGTTTTTACTGAAGACTGTTTCGCTGCCTTTCGTGAAGGGAATCAAGTAGATTGTGTTTACACAGATTTTTCGAAAGCCTTCGACAGAGTTTCACATAGAGTGTTAGCCTCCAAACTTTCGGCTTTAGGTTTCCATTCAACTTTTCTTGAATGGATTAAGTCTTATCTGAGTAATAGACTTTGTGTGGTTACCTTAGATAATGTCTCCTCCCGACCTTTTGTTGCATCTTCAGGTGTGCCCCAGGGCAGCATCCTAGGACCTTTGTTATTTACGTTATTTATTAACGACATCGGCTCTTGTTTCGCAACTTCTAAATTTCTGCTATATGCAGACGACCTTAAGATTTACTCAATAATAAAAAACTTGCAAGACGCCTTTGTTCTTCAGTCGGAAATCGATAATCTTGTGTCTTGGTGCGCTCACTATCGTCTTAACTTGAATGTTAATAAATGTTCGTACTCTTCCTTTACGAGAAAGCAAACTCCTATCTCAACGTGCTATCATATCTCTGGAGTCTCCCTCAAATATGTTGCTGAAGTTAAGGACTTGGGTGTATACTTCGATACGAAACTCAGCTTCTCAACGCATATTAATTATATTGTTTCGAAATCATATGCCATGTTGGCTTTTGTCCGTCGCAACAGCTCTGCGTTTACGGACCTGTACACATTGAAGTTGCTTTATACATCGCTAGTAAGATCTAGACTTGACTATGCTTGTTTTATTTGGAGAACATATGTCGCATATAAGCCGAATAGAGCGAATTCAAAAGGTTTTCATCAAATCGGCNAACATCTGGCGTTTTTACCCCCCAATTTATACCCCAATTTATAAAAGCCAAACGACGTATGTAATTATAGACCTATCTCGAAATTATTCACGGTCTCTAAAATTTTCGAGATTGTTGTTAAAGACAAACTCTCATTCGCAATTAAATAGTGGTCTTATCTGCTGTAACCAACACGGATTTGTCAAAGGTAAGTCAACAGTAACAAACCTGCTGTTTTTACTGACGACTGTTTCGCTGCCTTTCGTGAAGGGAATCAAGTAGATTGTGTTTACACAGATTTTTCGAAAGCCTTCGACAGAGTTTCACATAGAGTATTAGCTTCCAAACTTTCGGCTTTAGGTTTCCATTCAACTTTGCTTGAATGCATTAAGTCCTATCTGAGTAACAGACTTTGTGTTGTAACCTTAGATAATGTCTCCTCCCAATCTTTTGTTGCATTTTCAGGCGTGCCCCAGGGCAGCATCCTAGAACCTTTGTTATTTATATTATTTATAAACGACATCCGCTCTTGTTTCGCAACTTCTAAATTTCTGCCATATGCAGACGACCTTAAGATTTACTCAATAATAAAAGACTTGCAAGACGCCTTTGTTCTTCAGTCGGAACTCGATAATCTTGTGTCTTGGTACGTTCACTATCGTTTTAACTTGAATGTAAATACGAGAAAGCAACTTCCTATCTCAACGTGCTATCATATCTCTAGGGTCTCCCTCAAATATGTTGCTGAAGTAAAGGACTTGGGTGTATACTTCGATACGAAACTCAGCTTCTCAACGCATATTAATTATATTGTTTCGAAATCATATGCCATGTTGGCTTTTATCCGTCGCAACAGCTCTGCGTTTACGGACCCGTACACATTGAAGTTGCTTTATACATCGCTAGTAAGATCTAGACTTGACTATGCTTGTTTTATTTGGAGAACATATGTCGCATATAAGCCGAATAGAGCGAATTCAAAAGGTTTTCATCAAATCGGCTCTTCGCTCACTGAATTTCAGTGAACCTATTCGACCTTACGAATCTTGTTGTCAGCTTTTGACTTTAAAGCCCTTATATCAAAGGTTTGCTTTTCTCGATTGATCTTTTGTTGCAAATGTTATGAACAGCTCCGTTGACTGCTCAACCCTTTTAGAACAAATAGCGTTCAATGCCCCTTTTAGTAATCTACGCCATTCTCAATTGTTCTACGTGGAGTTTTCTAAGTATAATTACGCTAAATTTGCTCCACTCTCAAGAGCCCTCAAGAGTTAAAAAAGGTTCCAAATCTTGATCCGGCACTACCTCATGCAATAGTCCGTAGCCTCTTACTAGGCTACTTTAACAAGTCTTTAAGTAAAATTGTTCAGTAGTCAGTAAGAATTTATTGTTCATTTGACTAATACTATATATAAATAAATACATAAATTAGGGTCGAATACTGGTAATCTGACGATTTTTTCCGCAGTAGACAATTTTTTCCATACTAAAACAATACTACTTTTTTATATACTACGTCAACAAGAAAGTTATAACACATCAAAAACTTTAATGCCAATATCTCAGAAAGCAGTTTTAACAGAAATGGAGATAAAACAAAGACTAGTTGATTTTTCTATGTGTTTTTTAAACACATTTTTTGCTAATGTTTACATTCGTCAGTTACTTTATTCTGGGGTCCCTCAGACGTACACAAGAACTAGGTGGCTGTGTGAAAATTACGTTACGCATAGCAATATTTTCTACACAGAGTTAAAGTCCACCTTTTTGTTAAAAATTACTATTATTTTGCATTACATTCTGATCTCCTTAGAAAAATTTGGCGCTTAATATATTAGTGGAAATTTTAACCATTTATAAGCCATTTTTCAAACAGTGGGTCAAAAAGGCCCGTTCTGGTGGGAGTTGCCGGGTTAATCTTTTGGAAAAAAGTAGGCCAACCTTATTTTCAATATATAACCCGCAAAAAATCGTAAGAACTCCGTAATTTAACATAACGGTTGATAAGCTTATTGCAAAAATTTATTGATAGCGACATAAATTACCCCAATAACTTAACCTTTAAATTTTTTTTTTCTTTAAATTGAAATAGTACATACGGATTTGTAGAGTACATAGAGATGTATGTATATTAGGGTGCCCATCGCAAAATTGTTTTTTTGTACGTTAGTACTACATATTTTCAAATTGTGGAAATCGATGTTCAAAATTTAAAAAATTCTTTGAAATTCATTCAAAAATAGTCATTCAAAAACTCATGAATCTAGAAAATCGTATTTTCTGACCTAATCGACCTCTAAATGGTCTTTAAAAAATCTATAAAAATAGGCAGTAATATTTCTCATAAAAACGAATCAAATTAGGGGGTAGGGTCTTTAAATTCTCAAAAAAAGCACTTTCGATGGGAAACCTAATGTATATACTATATAGACTTTCTTCTGTTCGCCCATCCATCAGCAGCACTCACTCAACATTTGAATTCAATAAATGAAGTAAATAGAATTATAATCTGATAACATGATAAGATTAGAAGCCTCATGGCTCATTGGAATCTACCTTATGGGCAGTAGCGCCGGCGTTTCCGGACTTTTTGAAGTTGATCCCGCCGCCGCACAGTGCCGCGAAGGTGGACAAAAATACAAAATCAACTGTCTTGAAACTTAGATGTTTTGATGTCAAGTTACAGCTAAATCTCCAACTAAGAGAAGTTTATAAGTTATTTTGTGATAAAAACAACTTTCAGCCTCACACACCCCCTCAAAGTACACCTATTTTCTACATACCATTTCATTTCGGCGATTCGCACATAAAAGTGGTCGCAGTTAAAAATTTGTTAAAAATACATTTTTATTCCTAGCAAGATCAACTTTTGCACTTTGATAAAGATATATGCGACAAACCAAAAAATGTATGGTTCATGGAAAAAAAATTTATACAAATATTTTTTTTTTATTAATAAATAAATATATGATTAAACATACCAAAATCCGAAAATTGATAAACTTTGGAGACAAAAAAAAAACATCTTGAAAGTTCGTGAATTTTTTTTTTTGGTTATGGTAGTTTGGACCTTCTACTAACAGAAACAATCGAAATCTCTTCCAACTTTTTCCAATATTTGAAAATTTTCAATTTTGAAAAAGTGAATAAATGCCTTTTTTTGGTATTATTTTAGCTGATCTATATTTACAATACTTTTTCTGAATGCCCTAAGATCTAAATTTTTGGTTCGCTTTTCAAAAATAAGGTGTTGAATTAAAGCTAAAAGTGCAAAAAAAAAAATTAAGAGGTACAGGGTGCTTTGAAATGAAAAAAATTATCAGCTAATTAAAGTACTTAAATATGCACCACGGTATGGGAGCCAAAAACAAAGGTATACGAAGATTTACATATATATATAGAGCAATGACACCAGTTTACAAATAATATGTTAACCAATTCGGGTAAGGAAATAAATGCAATCGAGACACCTTACAGCGCCCAATGATTAGACGAAAGGCGAACAAAAAGAAAATAAAAATAAATAACATACCTATTACTCTTCATCTGCATAAAGAGTACTATTTTGCTTAAGCAGCAAACAAAAACAGCTTGCGAAAATGATAGTACAAATGTATGCACATCAGGGAGGTCCAATTTTTTTATATTTTTTTTTTTTTTGATTGAGTCTTTTTATAATTTTGTTCACCTAACTAATTACATTACCTGTGCAAAAATTTGAACGTTTTACTATTAGTGGAAAATGTTGCTCAACGCGAGCAATGAATAAATTGTATTTGACATATTTTTTCTACCCATTTACACAAAAAAACAAATATTTAAAATATAAAACAGCGATGGGCGCCCTTTAATATTAACCGATTTTTCTTAAATTTGAAATTTAAAGTGCATTAAGTATGCGTAACAATATACTGAACAAGCCAAACGGTTTTGGGAACATAACATTTTTTCATATAAACTTTAACCACCTTAATGCACATAAGTATATACGTGTGAAAGCAAGTGAGCGCAGCAGGTAAATCAGCACTTGTTTATCTCACTTCAAAATAAAGTATCAAAAGCAGAAACGTAAAACTTTTATAATAAATAAATAAAAATGTCAATTAAAATTATAAATAGTGATTTGGTAGATTTATGGTTAGAAACACCCCTTAAAGAAAGAATATCAATCACTTTTTCTTTTGTTTGTGAAAAGTTAACTAATGTTAAATTTGATAGAGATGCTGTGAGAAAAAAAGTTTATAAGTTCAATGCTGAAATGAGCAGAAAGTGGAAGGAAGCTGTCTATATAAAAGAGCGATTTATTAACTTAAACTCTTCTTGGCTCCAATGGGTAGTCTTTGAAATTGAAGATCCCGATAATGTATTTAAGGTATGCTTTGTAGTGTGAAAGATTGTAATTGAATATAAATTTCAGATACCAAGCACCAGTACGGGAAAAAGAGGCAGACCGCAAGTAGAGTTTTCGGTAGCTTCAGAAAAGTCAAAATTGCGAAAGGTTAGTAAAATACTTGAAGAACATAGTGCGGAAGAAATTACTTATGCAGCACGGAAAGTAACAAAAAATGAAACGAAGCCTGATAACACTATAAAGAAGTGTCTTGAACCCTTTGAAGCGCTGGCCTTGTGTTTAGATTTAGATTTATCGGAAGAAAAATATAATAGACTACGCAAAGTTGCTAACAATATACATGCGGATTTTTTCCCAAGCACGTATGCGTTAAACCAATTAAAACAAAGTTTAGTACCACATATAGAAGCGACGGAAACTTGAGCAGAAGTTAATTTAAAGGCTCTTGTACATATTACATCCAAACACATCTTAGAAGTTTGTGCAGACAAACACCCAGTGGGCCAACTTTCACTTATATGTAAATGGGGAATGGATGGCAGTTCTGGCCACAGTCGATATAAGCAAAAATTCTCCGCGGAAGACCTCTCAGATGAATTTATTTTCGTAATTGCTTTGTTACCACTTAAGTTCGTATAAAATCAATTATTTTCTTATGTATCTATTCTCTATTTTCCAAATTTTTTCCATTTTAAGGCTCATCGATTCCTCATCAGGTAATGAAATATGGGTCAACCGAACTCCCTCTTCTACGCTGTTCTGTAGACCAGTGAAATTCGTTTATACGAAAGAAGGAAAGGCGGTAATTCATTCAGAATATAATAAAATAATTCAGATGATTAATGATTTGGAATGTGATATTTTTAAAAATAAGAAGGGAATTGCTGAAGTTTCCTACATCATGGATTGCACTATGATTGACGGTGCAGTAGCTAATGTTTTAACAAACACCAATTCCTCAAGCAGATGTTTCATATGTCATGCAAGCCCAACAGAAATGAATAATATTGAACAAAACAAAATACCAAATCCAGATCATTATAAATTTGGGTTATCAACCCTCCATTGCTGGATTCGATTCTTTGAATGTCTATTACACATAGCCTACCGTCTGCCTTTTAAGACATGGCAAGTCAGAATGGAAAATAAGGCTAAATTTATTGAAACTAAAGCCCGTATCCAAAAAGAGTTCAAAATTAAAACAGGTTTGATAATTGACCAAGTCAAGCAAGGGTTTGGAACAACAAATGATGGAAACACAGCTCGACGTTTTTTTGAAAATATTGACGTTGCCGCAGAAATTACTCGTCTGGATAAGTCTCTAATCCATAATTTTTCTCTGGTGCTAAGAGTCCTCTCTTGTGGAAAACAAATAAAAACCCAAGAGTTTAGTGTTTTGTTGAACGAAACAAGAGAGTTATACCTTAGAAATTATGGTTGGTATAACATGCCAAGTTCAGTGCATAAAGTTTTAGTACATGGATGTGACGTAATTAAATACTTTGATTTACCAATAGGTAATGATTTTAAAGCTATGTTTTCATTTATTTTCTTAATCTGTATTTCCACCTATTTTATCAGGTTCATTATCAGAAGAAGCCTTAGAATGTTCACAGAAAAACATAAGAAAATATCGGCTTCTCGAAAAACTGGAAGAGTACAAAGCAATACGGATTTAATGACTCGTTTGATATTATCGTCAGATCCATTAGTTGCATTTAAAAGAAATATAAAACAGAGAAACAAATATTTAAAGGGTTCTGATCTCAGCTTTAATAAATACATTGTTGAAAGTGACGAAGCAGACAAAAGCATGGAATCATTTGAATCTTCTGAGGACTCTGAAACTGAGTGATTATAACAACTAGTTCGGTTTTTATTAACATATTATATGTTATTACCATATAACAGCTATTACTACTTACTTACTTAACAGTGATTATGCTTTATTTTAAATGAAATCAAAAGAATTTTTTTTTCTAAAGGTTAACATGTAAGGAAAACCGACTTAATTTTTCAAATTACCATAATGTATTCACTTAGGAAGTAAAGTTTAGACGAATTTTGACTATTAAGACTATTTTTCTGAACGCTTAGCAACAATGATATGCCATATTTCATTTTTAAATAATCATGTGCAAAAACTCGGTGTTTTTTTAATGCGTACCCGTTACAAAAAAACCGATTACTTTCTTAAAATTAGAGTAATATAGACACTTCAGATGTAAAGTTTTAATAAATTCTGACGACTCCTTCCTGTTTTCGTAAACACCACAATCAGCAATGATTATGCCTTATTTGTCTTTCATATAGTAATGTAAAAAAAATCTTTTTTTTTTTAATGGGTACCCGGTACCGAAAAATCGATTTCATTTTTGAAATAAGCATGGCTTAGTCCTTTTAGGTGTAAAGTTTCAACAAGTTCTGGATACTATTTCGGTTTTTATAAACATATGTCTACGATGATTATGAGTTATTTTACATTTTTATAAAATTGTAAAAAAAAAATTTTTTTTAATTAAATGGTAACAGATGCTGAAAAACGTTTTTTTTTTTCTTAAATTGCCGTGATATAGTCCTTTCAGGTGTAAAGTTTCAGCCCATTCTGATGCCTCCTTCCACTTATATCAACACATGTCCACAATGACTATTTTCATATAAAAATGCAAGAAAAATGAGTAACCGGTACAGAAAAACCGATTTCATTTTTGAAATTAGAGGGGCATAATACTTCTAGGTGTGAAGTTTCAGCCAATTCTGACCACTCCTTCTATTTTTGTCCATCATTTGTATGGAGTCGCGGCACTGTGCGCCGCCGCAAAGCCTGTCGGCGTAAACCTCTAATCACATCCAGTAAGAAAACCAGTGGCGGACCGAGGTAGGGGAAAGTGGGGAAATTTCCCTCCCCCCTCCCCAAGACTGTGTAACATGTATTTTCATAATATTCAATTGAATATCGTGAAATATTATTACAAGAATATACAACAGGTTTGTCCCACAAGCTACTTGTAGAAAAATTCGATCAAAGTTCAAACTGTGAGCGTATATCAAAGAAACTCGAAAACTTACTTGCGGAGCGCGTATATGTAACTCGAAATTACTTCGAGAAGCTTGGGGAACAAACCTAATGAATGGATGCTTTTGAAAATTTTAATTCATGGAAAAAGTGTGTCAAATTTCACTTGAGTTTGAAATTTTAGCAGTGTGTTAAGCACGAAATATTATGTTATTTAAGTAGGCCTATCAGTTTTTCGAATTCACTGAATTTTCCAAATTTTGAAATTATGTACTTAATTTTCAATTTTTACTTTTTTTGTTATATTTTCGAATTTGTATTGTTTTACACAGTTGAAAGTCACAGCAAGTTTGAATATTTTTGCAGGTTCAGAAAACAACGAAAGTTCCAAATTTTGAATTTCATATTATTAAATTTTTTGAGATTTCTTATTTTTAGGATGTAGGACTGTATCCGGAAGCACGCATGCTATATTCATTATCATGCTCACTTATATACTTATGTTATCATTTATACATGTTATTCGTTATGTTAACCCTGTTTCTGTTAAAATATTATGTTAAAAGCTTTTGTTAAAAGATTCTGTTAAAAGCTTTTGTTGAAAGCTTGGGTTAAAGCTGTACTATTTCTTTATGTTACTTAACATTGAATTAGACTCAATTTCTTTTGATCATGTCAAAATCCACCACATTTGTACTCAATTTTGCTAATGTTTTTAACTGTTGTCCTTTTTGTTTCACATCGTTGCAATTTTAGTTATTTAAGATCATACTCCAATGTAAATTTTTTCATTCGTACAGCGACTAATAAAGACGCATGATCTACTTCTGACACCTCTTGCGTTTTATTTTAAAATTCAGTCATCGTGCTTAGTGAAGCTTAGACACTGGTAGACAGTGGCTAGCTTTATTAAACACGAATGTGCGAATAACTTAGGGATAGACTACTTCTCTAAATCTGGCGCCCAACTAAAATCGCGAACTTTTTAATTAAAATTTTCGAAAAAATTGCCACTAACGGCATTTCGAAGCCTAATCTGCGAACAATGTGCTGCGAAAATCATTTAGATGCTTGAAGACAAGTTTTGGCTCTTGCGGCTAATGACAAAAGCAGATAACATTGTCCTAATATACTGCAGTAAAAAGCGGAAAACAAATCCATCGCAACGATTCTGGAAATCTGGTTTTCTGCGGACATCAGCGGGTTCTTAAGTCCAGTTGAGTCGTATTGCTGTGTTGTGGATACGAATATTCATACCATTGCTGTTGTTGTTGTTGCTGAAAAACTGCCATCAAAAGCACATCAGAGCTGCACTTTTTTGTTGTTGTTGCTGAAAAACTGCCATCAAAAGCGCATCAGAGCTGCACTTATTTGTTGTTGTTGCTAAAATACCTCCTTCAAAAGCGAATCAGAGCTGCACTTATTTGTTGCTGTTGTTGCTCAAAGAACGTGCAGAGGCTCTAAGACTGCTTGGGCAAATTCACGAGGTTTGTTGCCGAAGAACTGCGAAGGCGAATCAGGTTACGTTTGGTTGTTGTTGTTGTTGTTCACAGCACATGCAGAGGCTCTAAAACTGTTTTGGGCATACTCACATTCTTGCGGTACGCAACCGAGATCTTCGTTGCATACCCTCAGGCTTAACTACTTCCTGTTAGGATTTCATAACAGTGTTCACCCTTCTGTTAGAATCGATAAAAACCATCACTGTTAAAATTAAAATCGGTCGGTTTCACTTGGTACTAAGGCTTTGATTTGGTTTCATGAGAAGAAAAAGTCCCAGGCTAAACGCAGAACTGATCGAAGTGAAAATGGAAACAGATGCAAGTAATGTTAACCCCAATGCCAATGCTGCTAATGCCAACGCGAATGTTAACATAGAAAGCGCAAGGCAAATTGTTAATGTGCCTAAGCAAAGCGCTAATCACACCGGAAATGCGCCTGCGAGTTCCAATGTTATGAACAGCCAAAGGCAAGCTAACACGAACGCCAATGTTAATGCTAACGTCGGCCGTACTAATAATCCATCGAATGTAATGCTAACAGAAAATCAGTTCAGGCAATTGCTAGGAAACCTCCATGTAAACCAAGATACTAGGGCTACTTTTAGTAAATGTAGCGTACGTTTTAATGGTGGAAGGAACACCAGAAAAAATGAAGATTTCTCAGCGACCATTTTAGTATACAAAGATGCGGAAAACATATCGGACGAACGACCGCTGTTAAGTTTACCTCTTCGTCATGGCGGCAAGGTGTGAAGGAGGAAGCGGAAATATTTATTGGTTTGCTTCGCAAAGTGTTTTCTCCGCCGAAACCCGACTGGCGTATTTTTTCGGAGATAAGGCAGGAAAAACAAAAGTTCACGGAGCCAACCGACTTATTCATATGCAGAAAACGACAATTATTCGCC